TCATATAAATCATGTTTGATGAATTTTACAGTACTATCATGTGCATCATATATATTATGCTGGAATTCTCAAACTAAGCAATTCATGATACTTGCTTGAATAGATGTTGCAGGTGCCTGCACTTGGCTGTCTTAGTTTAGTGATTGTCATAAAATTTCCGTTATGATTGTGTTTTTTTAATACTATATTTGGAATGCTATATTTTAGTTTTTACTATAATTCATTTGAAATATAATTATTTATAAAACCTTTAAAATATGACATATCGCACACCATGTTTATTTCTATTTTCTATTTTTGAAATTTGAAACGAGATAATTTAAGTTTTCCAGAAAATTTCATTTTCTGTCTCAAGTCTTAAGTTGTAATAGAGCAATTGTGACTTTGTTGGTACAACTGATATGTTTAACAATGTGCAAACATGAATGTTGAATAGGTCTGTTCCTTGACTAAGCAAACATTTTGGAGTTTTATTGGTAAGGTTAAGTTGACACATGTACCAAATTTACATTCTGGACATATTTGCAAAAAATAATATTTACAATTAACTGCATACATCTACTTTCCCTAGATCCCCTAGAGGTCGTTCTTTGAACTACCCTTTACCATCTGACTATTGAAGATTTTGTGTTTGTTTCTTCTAAAATGCCAAGAGTTCATGTTACTCAACTTTTAAGCTTCAGGTTTTATGTTGTTTGGTTTCTGCTAATGGAATATCCACTTGTAATCTGAAGTTCCACTCTTTTTCAGTTTTGACACTGGCTTTGATTTTAATATTGTCTGTAGACGAGTAGAGCAATGCATATCTTAGGTTTTGATAAAATCGCGATATAATTGCTATGCAGGATTGTAACATTGAAGAGGCTGGGGATGAAGATGATCCTCCATCTAAAAGCGCAAAAGACAAGAAGTCCAATGGAGCAGATTCTGGCAAAGTCAGCCTTGTGTTTAAAATTACCAATAGAGTTCCTTATAAATCTGTTCTGAAAGGTAAAATTATCTTGTTGATATAGCTGTCAATGGTGGATGCACGCATTTATTTCCTATAAACTTTTGAAAAACCATTTTAATTTACAGTGTTCTTTTCTTGCAGCACACAGTACCGTTATTTTGAAGGCTGAAAGTGCATCTGATAAGGTTGAATGGATTAATAAAATAAGTAATGTTATACAAGCAAAGGGAGGACAGATAAGGATCTCATCTGATGGTGGCTCTACCATGAGGCAAAGCCTCTCCGATGGTTCCTTGGTTAGTCACTGGCTTAATGGCATTATTTACATGCATTGCGTTTTTTATGGTGCATTCATTAGGCTTGAATATTAAAGCCAGTTCTTAGTAATTAGAAACTGCTTCATTTAAATATTTAACATATGTTTATTAATATTATGATTCTAATGTTCTCCAACTCGAGCATGAATGCTTATTTGAATGTTTTAGTTCTGTTAAGAAATTTACAGGAAACATTACAAAATAGGTAATGAAAGGAATATGTTGCAAATAGCGATTATGATTAACATGTCATTGGGGTATTTCACTGGAATGATTGATAAATATCAGGGATGCTGAATGTTCATACTCAAGCAATTTGATGAACCTTTGTCTAATATCTGTTAAGTCTATTAAAAGTGAATTGTGAATAATTTGTTCTTCCTGTATTGGTGGTTATTGACTGGCTTTTATTATATTTCATTTCACATCTTTTCTCAGGACACAATGGCTCGAAGACCTGCGGATCCTGAGGAAGAACTCAGATGGATGTCACAAGAAGTTCGTGGTTATGTTGAAGCAGTGTTAAATAGTTTGGCTGCTAATGTACCAAAGGTAAGATTCTATTTCTAATATTTGATACTTTTAATATTTTTTTCAAGATTTCCAATGTTTTATGCATTTTCTGGATACCTTGTTTACAGGCAGTTGTCCTTTGTCAAGTTGAAAAGGCTAAGGAAGACATGCTGAATCAATTATATAGCTCTGTCAGGTTCAAAAATTTGTTATTGCCTTTGAGTTTTATTCTCTTGCACTATATTACATTGTTACATTTGTCACATGTCAGTCTCATGATTGAAGAGTCTGAAGGAATTGAAGAGATTACAAAATGTCTTCATAATCTCTTCACATTCCCTCAAAATTTTCTGGAATGAGACTAACAAATTTTCAGGAATATTTTGCTGCACCGATTCAGAACTGCAATGTATGTGGAACTGAATGTTGGTAGATAAATGCCACCAACAGAATATATTTAATGTAAGGGAGACAAGGATGTTGAGTTGACTTGTTAGTAGATAGATACGTGCCAACAAGAGAATAAATTTAATGTATGGAGATGACGATGTTGCATTGAATGAGTTGACACACTAGACAATATTATGAGTGAATGCATTGGGGAAGAAAGGTAGAGTAGCACCTATATTAAGTCTTGCCTTAGATGATTTGTGCATGTGTGGAGATGACATGTAACAAGGAAGGAGACTAGATTAGATGGAGGATTATCTCAGTAGCTAGAAGTAGAAGGAAAGCTAGTGAAAATCAGGCAAACCATTTAAGAAGAATTTTTAAGTCTATAATTTTGTGCAATGATGTATCCAACATTAGTATTATTTTCTTTTTGTGCATCTCTCTCTCTCTCTCTCTCTATCTATCTATCTATATATATATATATATATGTACACACACGCTCCCGCATTGTCATTTTCCTTTTTTAAAATATAATTAATATTTTGATATTTTCCAGTTACTTAATTATATTTACATTGTTTTCTTGCTCAAGCACCTGTCTTTTCCACCAGTCCAATGTAATCAATTTTAGCTTATGGAGAAGTTCCTTTTATTTTATTTTTCTTTTGTAGAAGTGTTTATGGAGAAGTTTGTCCAAACAAACTCTATCAATTATTCAATTATCTTAAAAACAGTATGATGAGTTTTTGTCTGAGATTGTGGAGGATGCTAACCCACAAATGTGTTCAGATGTGGTAATTTTGCTTCATGATTGGTGGGAAAATCTTTGGTACTATCTGAACCTGATGGTTCATTATTGATTGTTAATGTACAAATTACATGCTAATTAATCTAGATGCTTTAGTTTTGAATATGAAGATGCCAATTATTAATATATAGTTGTTAATTTAATTTAGGTGATTGTTGACATTTTTTGGCTTTTTCCATGATTAGTGCTCAAAGCACTGCTAAGATTGAGGAGCTGCTTTTGGAAGATCAAAATGTAAAGCGCAGAAGAGAAAGAATCCAGAAACAATCTTCACTTCTCTCAAAATTGACACGCCAACTGAGTATTCATGACAATCGAGCAGCTGCTGCCTCTGGCTGGTCAAATGGTAGTGCAGGTGTGTTAAGCTGATTTCTTGGTTGATAGTAGTAGTTTCTTTGTGTGTTGGTTTTCCTGTGTGTAGTTATATTATTTATTTGTTTTGCAGAGAGTAGTCCAAAAAGCAGTGGACCAGGTGATGACTGGAGATCTGCCTTTGATGCAGCCGCCAATGGCCCTGTTAGTAGAAGTGGGTCTTCAAGATCGGGATCCAATGGTCACAGTCGACATTATAGTGATCCTGCACAAAATGGTGATGTGAACTCTGGTTCAAACTCCAGCAGCCGCCGAACACCTAATCGGTTACCACCCGCTCCTCCTCCGGGTTCTTCGGGTTACAAATATTAACAAGCGGCTGACTCGTGATCATCGCATGACAGTTAATATTTTGATACATTTTTGGAGGGTGAGGATGCTCCTACCCCATTTCATACCCCTGAGGATACGGCCATCCCCAATTCTTTGTCTCTGCCGGTGGTATATTTAGGTGAGGAAATGTTTGTGTATATAGAAGACGATAGTTTATTAGTATATGTTTTCCGGGCATTCATCTCGTTATCAGGAAATTTGGTGTCAAGGTGGACTTGAATACATTTATCATGTTTTGCTATTCAATATTCTTTTTACTTCTATTATAGCTTTTGATGTTTCCTTTTTTTCTTTAGAATTTGCCCTCTTTTTGGATGCAACCCATGTATCTTGCTTTGTATTGAAATAATACACCATCCCTGACGGGTTCGTGACTAACATTTGAAGTAGGTTTGTTGAACTTTGTCATTTGTTTGTTTATTCTCGAATTTGGCCGTTGCATAGTTTGGCAAATAATCTTTTGTTAAATTATATTTGTGTTATTTGCTGATGTCATAATGATAGTGTTAATTTTGTTTTTCTGCTTGATGCTATACTTTTTTTAATATGGTTTTATATATTTTTTTAATTTAATTTAGTTCACATTAAATTTATTTCTATTTGGAAAAAAGAAAAAGGATGGTTAATAGGGTCTTTAAGAGATTGTCCCGGTGATCCATTAGTTAATTACAGTTGCCTTTTCTCCAAGTCAGGTGGAAATAGTGAATGTATTCAAAACAAATGCTGGTGTTCTTGACATTATCTCACGAGGGATGAACACAATAGTTTAATATGAAGATAATATTACTTGGTAGTTCAATTGAAGGAGATGACCTTCTTCACGTGTGACATCGAAAGAAAGGAGAGTTTTTCATATAACTTATTCATTTGAGCTAATAACCAAATAGCTGTGTTTAAATTGTTAAAACATTAGATTGTGGTACTTCAGAATTTATGCGACGCATCTAAAGCAGAAAATGTGTCTTTCTGCTTAGGACACATGGCTAAATATTGTAGAACGAAACATCCCATTAAACTTAAATATTTCGCAAGAAAATACCCGTATATATAAATGTAATATTACGGAAAAATTACTAAACGCGAATCTCTGAACATTATATTACAGACAGCTTTATTTTTAATTTTGACTAAAACCTATTTAAAGTACCATATATATTGATATCATTTTCTCTGGTTTAAAACCAAAGCCACATTAGTAATGCTACTGACAATGCATAATGAAGAACTTCGAAAAAAGTTTCTATATCTATATTGAAAAGGCAACCCACCAAGCATCCCGCACAAGTTAACTACAAATTTCAAAAATGGACTATCACAAAATTAATATAAAAATAATAATGATACAATTCAATAGTAGAAGAAACCAGGAAGAGCTAACAGCACAAATTTTCCTAGAATAATCTGTTCTATTAACACTTAGTACTCTATAGACACTCGTAACCATATCTAGAGAAAGCCGAAATATAGCTAGCAATGAAAATATACAACACACTGAAAACACTGCGGCCCCCTTGTTTTCTAAAGATGTCTGCTTCCTTCGGACTCCATCAACCTCGGACCTGAATTATTATTGGGGAATAAGTCAGATCCCAAAGAACTAAATAACTGTCACCATCATTCGTTAAGGAAAAAAAAAATCTTTAACTTTGATAATCAAAGAGCAAGTACAAAGCATATGTAAGGTCCAGAAACACTAAATAATATATCAACTTTCTTCATATTATTTCGTTCAATGGCATGCACTATTTTTATTCCAAAGATCAAGCTCTTCAAAATCTTCCTAGGTACTGTACTCCTATGAGTCTTGTCATGAATGTAATTTGTTGAACAAAATGTTGATGTGCCCATTTGGTTGGTCGTCATTAAATGGCCTTTTCATGATAAATATGCTGAACATCATATACTTCATCTTCAACGCGGAATTGCATCAAGTATAAGTTAATCAGATGATGGGGTAAGACATAAAAGCTCTGTTGGAGTAGTTTTACTGAGTAGTTTAGTACTACTCTAAACTTTCCCCATTGATTGTCATAGATATTCAAATACTCTACTATTTTAAAGATACTCTCAAAAGTGAACTAATTACTAAATCTGAACTAGCTCTCAAGTTCATATAATGACAAACTAGTATTTTAAAGAAAGCTTGTATCACAAACTCTCACCTCAAAACAGCATTGTCTCTGAGTAGAAGATCCAACTGCATGGAAATATGGGACTTCCAGGATTTGAGATCACTAGCATCTTTTGTCTGCAAGGTCAACAAATCATTTGCAAAATGAATAAAACGTAGATTAATAATGATTTTTACATAATTAAATACATGTGCCAACAATATCCAGGATAGATTTAACATACTATAGCATCCTGCTGGTCAATGAGATTCCTAATGTCTTCTTTGATATTTTGTATAAGTATATCTTTTCCGCCTATGTCTTTTCTGTACTCTTTGAAAATATTGACATATCTAGAATTTAAGTCCTCCATATACTGCTCCAAAACAAACAAATTTAAGTCTAGAGTACGAACTTTCTGCATCAGAATCTTGAGAACAGTATCCCCAGGCATCCTGCTAACTTGTTGACGGGTTTCTTCAACTGAGTCAGGAGAGTTACTGTTTATTCTCTCATGATTTGAAGAAGAGGTATCTGAAGCAGGATCAGAATTGATCCCTCCAAAAGTATTTTGATGAACATCTTCACTCTCAGCAGGATTGGGATGGGGTGATACTGTCCTTTTATCAGTGTTACCATCCCCAAGAGCGAAGAGATTATCTTGAGTATTTATCAAATCCTCCAGCATCCTCTCAACAGCATCCACACCATAAACTTCAAATACGCTTAGTGTGCAATAAAATTCAGAACCATAGTGACTTTGAAGATTCAACTTTAAATATCTCACCCATTTTGGCTCCTGAAGAACAAACCTTTGAGCATGCCTCACATTTGAGGCCGTGAAATTCCCAAGAAAAACCCAAACATCTGTTGGAAAGCTCAGACTGCCAAGAAGTTCAAAAGCTTTTAAATTGGAAGAATGATGCTCAAAATTAGCTATTTTTATTGTATCTACTAAGGTTTCTTCGGAAAGTTCAATAATGACAAATTTCTCTTCAACAGAACATGGATTTCGAAGATACTTATCTTTGTCTCTGCATAAGATATTAGAGGCGCCTTTGGCTTCTTTGTTAGAACCTAAAACTTTTGCTCCCTTCGAGGCTGAAGCATAATTGTATTCTTCACCACCAGGCTCCACTCTATGTATTACACTTCCAGAGGAACCAGTGCCAGATTTTATTTTGGAACTAATTGCTCTGCTCTTAAATTCATCAAGACCAAGAGGCACAGCCCAAGATAAATGATCAGATTTTTGCGCATCATCTTCGAGTCTGACAGAAGAATTACAACTCTCTTCCTGTACCTCTGTAAAAGGAGAATCACAATCTCTCTTATTACAAGTACCAGGTTCAGCATAATCACGCGTTTCTTCACTGTGGAATGATTCGGGAACAAAACCATTGGTCTCGGAATCTTCAGAGTGTAAAGCCTCAAGGGGAATGTAAAAATCTTTCTTAGCAGAATCAGAGCTCTTACACTGTCCGTGCTTATCTTCTTTCAAATTCCGTAACCGAACTGAATATTCTTCAGACCCATCTACATCCATATTTGATAAACTGACTACTAAGAAAATGCATCATGCATCTGCAGTTGAATATTAACATGCTGTAATGTTGTATGAAAGGACATTCTCATACACATGAGTGCTAGGTTGTCAGGTTTTGGAGTGGTTTATTGCCTACAACTTAGTTGGGTTTGGGTATCCTAAGAGAAAATGATTTGGTGTGTTGATGTTTGTGGGTCAGTTCGTAATCGTAAACAGAACAGAGTATGATTCATTCCATGCTATTAATGGGAAAAGAAAATATAATGATTAATTTACCTGTGGGAGTGGGGGTGAACCCATGAGCGCGAGTGATCCAATAGCTTAAGAGGAAGATTAGAGTCCACAAAAGAAAAAGCAGTGAGAGGGAAACTTCATACCCAGAGGCAGATTTAGTGTCTAAAGCTCTTCTTCTTCTTCTTTGGAGAAGAGCTTCACGTGATGTCTGCATTGCAATTGCACATGAGTCCCTGTCCCACCCACTCTTCACTGCTCAACACAACAACTACATCAATTCCTGCTCTGCAACGCGCAACAACTACATCTAAAATTTCAATTCATTTTATTCAGATCAGATCACAGAAAACAGAGAGTAACGAAGGAAGAAGAGGGATCTGACCTCGGGTGGGGTTTTGACGAAGGAATTACGCACGCGTTGACGAAGGATCTCTGCGTTTACAAAGCAAAATTGACAGAGAGAACAACGATGGATCTCTTCTATCACAAAAATTAGTTAATTTTGTTAATAATTTTAAATTTGTTAACACTTTGTATTATTTCATTAAAATTATTGGAATTCTTTTTTTTTTTTCATTCTTTCAACTTGATTACTTTTTATCTAGTTAAATTAATATTTAATTTTGCTCTAGTAGATTGGTATCCTATGACAACATACAAAATTGATAATAATGTTCCATGCTCGGAAGACATAATGAATATATCTTATTGATTTATACAATTTATTTTAAATAATAGAAGTATTTCTGTAAAAAAAAAAATTAACGTAAGAAAATTTGAAAATGGTTTTATTAAAAGTGACTTTCATACAGACAATATTTTTTTTATCATTGAATTCTTTTATTAATAATAATAATAATAATAATAATAGCGTCATTATAATTTATAAATATTAGTTAAATATAATTACTATTGTTATTGCTATGTGATAACTTCCCCATGTCATTTAAGCATGACACTGGCCTTAAGGTAAGTCTTCAATCTAATAATTTATTTTAATAAGTGTGTATGAAGTGATTATATGTGAGTTTATTAATTTCATTTTTTTTATTTAAAATTAATCATTTTCATTATAAAAAAAAAAACTATTTTCGTATTATATGTCTCCTTCTATATTATATATATATATATATATATATATATATATATATATATATATATTAATTTGATATTATATTGCAATACAGTAGATATATATATCAATTCTAAATGATCACTCGATTTATCCTTCAACATATAACTGGATGTCAGATGATATAAGGAGAAAAAAACAGTTATTTTCAATTTTAAAAAGATTAATTTTTTTAAGGACCAAAATAAAAAAGGCCTACATTTTATAATGACTAAATATTACTTATTTTATATAATTTCAGAATGCCTATTCTAAAAGACATCTTATTCCCAAATAAATAATATAAAATTAGATTAATATATTAAGGATTTGTTATCCAAAATTTGGATCTTCTATTTTTTAAAATCCGGATAATATATTAAGGAATATTTTTTTTAAGAATGATTTGTCCTTTAAATTTAAACCAAAACAACTTTTGAAATAAATAAACACATTTATATACTATTATTCAATTTAGTCCATCTATTTTACAAGGTTCAATTTGATTTCATAATTTAAAGAGAAAAAATTTGACTGCTGCTCTTCCATCATTCCTTGTTTTTATCTTAAAAAAACATTTTAAATTAAATTTAAAAATAAAAACTGTAAAACAATGATAAAAAGCATTCCTATGTCAACATTATTCTTCATGATGGGTGGTAAAATCAATTCACGTCATATAATTTTTATTATTGATTTATTTGGTTTTATTTTCAATATACAGTACTGCAAAATTTATTACCAATTTCCGTTTCTTATGGAACTGCACAACATAAAAAGCAAGAAAATTACATTATACATCACCGTCACCTGGACTAAAACTTTTCAGTTTGAGGAGATGAATTTGCAGGAATTTGAGTTCTAATCGGGATGTATATCTTGACCCACATGAAGCCAGGAATCACCTTGTGGCTGCTCTCCATCAATAGAAGCATGTTTCAGTAGTATGCCAAACAATATCTTTCCCTGTTTTAATATGTTAATATTAAAGTGATGCATAAAAAAAATCAAATAAATATATAACTAAATTCTAGCTATAAAACAAGGCCAACCTTTACCCTCCTGTAGGATGCTAAAGTTGCCAAAGGTTCATTTGACTTTTGCACTTGTCCCGAATTCAGGGAAAGGTTGATTAATTGGCATCGATTGCAGCCCCCTATCGACTGATGAATAAATCAAATCCCAAAAATTAAGCAAAAGAATTATTTCCTAACAAGTAGTGCATACAACTGTATGAATGAAATTTTCCTCTCATCATTTTCTTCCTTGATTAATAGATGGGATGAAAATATCACCCGTACACCCAACAATTGGACAAGGAAAAACTTTGTACAACTATTTATCAACATGGCATAAGAGATGCAGATGACACATATCACAAAGAAAACACGGTGCAGTATGGATAAGAGATGAAGAAATGCAACAGATTTTATTAGATGCAGTCATGACAATAACATCATAAGAAAAGGATATAAAGTAGATGCAACTTGTTACCAAGCAATAGGGGAAGATTGCTGTATTTATCTCATACTCGGCAAGACAATGATCTAAACTATTTTGATCTTCTTTATTTTCTCTTTATCTCATTCTTAAATTTATTGTAATTAGGATGGTTAGGATTTCTCCTAGCTATCTCAGCCTAAACAACTCATATAATAATGGGGAATCAGTTATAAGAAATAGAATAAACTATATTATAATATTTACATATTCTAAGCGTTTTTCAAATTTCACATAATCCTCTTGCTTTTAGGGTTAGTGTAACGTGTAAGTTTACTCAAATCAATACCTTTAATCAATGCAAGTAGCATAGTTCAAGGTTAGTCAAAAGGGCTATCTACTATGTCAAATTTCACAATAAGAAGAAATTTGTTTTATCAAACCATTTAGAAGGTTATTTGAACTTACACTGAAAGACTTATTTCCAATCCTAATGTATCTCCATCCATCTTCAGCATAAGGCCTACCTCCAGATACCACAAGATTGGGACGAAACCTACTTGCACTGACTTGCACTATTGCTTTTCCAGATATGCCCTTTTGTCCATCTATTAACATCAATTATAGTTAGCAAACGTTCAATATTCCAAAAATATTGTGGTTGAGAAACTAAAAAGCAATATAATTAATAGTTTGACTTGAAATGAGAACTTATATATTATTTTTTACTTGAAAAATCTGTATACAGGAATTTCAATATTTATAGGATACCTAATAAAATCTAACCTTATGTTTACATGAAGAAAATCCACTATCCTTATTAAAGGAAATAAAGGAAAAGTGGAAATAAAAACTATTCAAGGAAATAATATCTATATGTACGACATGAAACAAGAAAAAAAGCAAACAACAAATATCTCAGTCGTGAATGAATGAATATCTATCATTCTTAGCTTGTTAATAGGACCTCAGCAGCTCTCTATAGGAAGTCTCTAGTTCAATACATATGCCAATTGGCTTCCAAAAAAAGGTATGTATGTGATTTGTCCTTGACAAAGTGTTGGTCTATCTCTATGTGTTTTGTCATATCAAGCAATTATGTGGAAATTATGAGCAGATTTATTTTTGCAAAGAATCTTCCGAAGGACTTTATATTTTATTTAGGTCATTGAGTATGATCTCCATCCAAAAGAACATGTAATACAATGAGGTGGATCTCCCACCTACCATTTGTCCTGCATAACCTATATACAACTCTAAGGAAGCCCCCCTCTTTCTTAAAGAGAATCCTTCCTAGGTTTGCCTTTAGATGACAAGGATCCTATTCACTATTTGTACCTGTCTATCTTGTAGATTATGCAAGAGTTGACCAAACACATTGACTAGATAATAACGTGTGGGCTAGACAATAAGCTTTCGCATGTCTCTCTAATATTGGGTGTGGTTGGGTATTAAGATCCAATGGCAAGGTAAGGGACATTTGGACTTGAGTCTCACATTGGATTCTAATGTGGGGCTTATAAAGCCTTGGACTCTCTAACTACAATAGCTAGCTTTTGTGGCGTGGAACTTCCAAGGATCTTTTTAGTTAGAACCTTCCTTTCAATGTAGTTAATTAAGCCTCTTTTCTACCCTTTAAGGTTCAAATGTATTATTTGAGTTGTATTTGGCTGTTGATTTGCTTTGTTTCCTTCTTATTTAAGGGGAACAATGTCACCAACACCAATATTCTTATCTCACTAAGTGAGGTTGGTTACATGGAATAGAACACACTTGTCGCCCACCATTGGTTACACTAGGACATGTTTGACACCTAATGATGCATGGTTACGATATGAGTATCAGATACGATTCGTATCATCTTATCAGATACGATTCGTATCATCTTATCATATACGATTCGTATATGATAAGATGATACGTTTATCATTATCATGCAAATCCAAATTTCAAATCACATCTCTTAGATATGGTGGACATAAAAAATATAAATAATTATCATTATAAAATATTTTCTGTTATTTATGTATAGGAATAGGACTATCATTCTCGTTAATTTCTTAAAATATTTCATAAGAACAACTTTTTTCTTTGATTTATGAAAAATAATATTTATATGTTTCCATTCTATAGATACATATATGTTTGTTAAACTTTATTTAATAGAAATGATTTAAAAAGTATTATTATTTGTAAAACAAATAAAAGTATTGATGCTTCATAGGTTTGGATACTTCATTGATACGTATCAGTGAAGTATCGGTGAAGTATCCGACACAATCCGTATCAGATACAGATATGTGAAGCAAATTGAAGTACCGGTGTCGAAAAGATGGTTGGACTTGTCGTCACAAGTGGCAGACAATGATTAACAAAGGAGATCTACACAAAGGAGGAGGATGCCATAAGGGCATGTAATTAGGGATTTTATTCTTTTGATCCTTAATTATACCATAATTTACACACATTTAGTAAAACCTACACATACTAAACCATAATTTGAACTAGTTAAGGAAAAAATCATGACAAGGAAAGAAGATAACCAAATCCTAAGTGATAATGAAGAATCAAGGAAACTAATCCTAGAAGTTAATCTAAGATATAATATATTTTTCAATCATTCCACATATTCTAACAAGGAACTCTAATACCAACTTGAAAAATGACAATTGAAATATAAGTCGACTTAATAATTTGTGGATTGATTACAACATATATTGGCTAACTAATAAAATGTAACCTAGTATTTGTATATTTACCAAAAAAGACCTAGTGTTTATAGGCAAAAAAATCAGCCATCCTAGTTAAGGGAAAAAGTGATAAGAACTTTGAGAGAATGCTACGGCAAATATTAACCATTGTAGTGGGAGAGCCCTAGGCCATGTAAATCTACACAAAAATTCCATACTTCCAATGTTGGATTCAAGTTGCATACCATGTAATTGGATCCTCGCAAAGATAAGGTAAAAAATGTAAAGAAAGAAAAAACTAAACGACGTAAGACTCCGAAGGAAGAAGCGAATAATACTCATAGTCATATGTTGCAACAGTTTGTGACATATAAGTGATTGCCTAAGAGAAAATTTAATCTTTTTTAAGGAATTTTATATGGCTTTCTATTTTCTTTATTACATTAAGATCCCTTTTGCATTATTATGAATATCTAATAATCTAATAAATCAGCAACAAAGCAATTCATTATCCATCGTGAACTAATTTTCTGAGTTAAGAGAGTAAAGAGAATGAAAAGAAGATTTCTAATTTTGTGGGATGCTTACTCCACTCTATGATCTCATATATATATATAGGATTACAACATTTAAAACAACAACCACTAACTACTAACAACCACCAACCACCAACTACTAACTACTAACCACTAACCACTAACTAATAATAATTCTAACACTCCCCCTCAAGCTGGAGCATACAAATTGTATGTACCAAGCTTGGAACAAATAAATTCAATTCGAGGTCCTCTTAAAGACTTTGTCAACACATCTGCAAGTTGATCATTGGACCCGACAAATTCAGTGCAAATTTCTTTAGACAACAATTTTTCACGAATAAAATGACAATCAAGTTCTATATGTTTGGTCCTTTCATGGAACACCGGATTAGAGGCAATGTGGAGAGCTGCTTGATTGTCACAATACATCTTCATCTGTTGGATCTCACAAAATTTCAGTTCTTGAAGGAATTGTTTCACCCACACTAGTTCACAAGTGAGAGATGCCATTGCTCTATATTCAGCTTCAGCACTAGACCGGGCCACTACATTTTGTTTCTTACTTTTCCAAGAAATAATATTGCCTCCAATGAGAACACAATATCCTGTAGTGGAGCGTCTATCCATAGGGGATCCAGCCCAATCAGCATCACAATACCCAGATATTTGGGTACCCCCTTTATCTTCATACAACAGACCTTGTCCTGGAGCTTTTTTGAGATATTTTAGGATGTGAACGACAGCATTCCAATGATCAGTACGCGGATTTTGCATAAATTGACTCACAACTCCAACGGCAAAAGATAGGTCAGGTCTGGTAATGGTGAGATAAATGAGTTTCCCAACAAGTCTTCTATATCTCTCAGGATCAGAGAGCGGTTCACCTTGATCCGCCATTAATTTCTGATTTGGATCCATAGGGCTGTTTACTGGTCTACAATCAATCATGCCTGTTTCTTTCAAGATATCTAAAGCATACTTTCTTTGGGAGACTACGATGCCTTCTTTTGATTGAGCCACTTCAATCCCTAGAAAGTATTTGAGACAACCAAGATCCTTAGTTTGGAAGTGATTGCATAAATGTTTCTTTAGCAAAGAAATTTTATCAACATCATTCCCTGTAATGACTATATCATCTACATATACAATTAAATAAACACATTTTCCTGAAGCAATATAATAAAAAACAGAATGATCTGCTTCACTTCGTTTTAATCCAAAACTTTGAACAATGTGACTATACTTTCCAAACCAAGCACGTGGAGATTGTTTGAGACCATAGAGAGAACGATGTAACTTACAAACCAAACTAGACTCCCCCTGAGCAACAAAACCAGGAGGTTGCTCCATATAAATTTCCTCCTCAAGATCACCATGCAAGAACGCATTCTTGATATCTAACTGATGAAGAGGCCAATGACGGATAGCTGCCATAGCAAAGAAAAGTCGAACAGTAGTCATTTTGGCCACAGGAGAAAAAGTATCACTGTAGTCAAGGCCATAGATCTGAGTATAGCCTTTTGCTACTAATCTAGCTTTGAGTCGATCAACTTCACCTTTTGGTCCAACTTTAATGGCATAGACCCAACGACAACCAACAGTCTTCTTCCCATGTGGAAGAGGAATTAAGTTCCATGTACCATTGTGCTCAAGAGCCTGCATTTCATCAATCATGGCTTGTCGCCATCCAGGATGATCAAGTGCCTCCTTCACAATTTTTGGAATAGTAATAGAGAATACAGAAGAAATAAAAGAAAAATAGGAAGGAGACAATCTATGGTAACTCTGAGAAAAATAGATTAACTGAAATATGATTTTATTATTTCAATACAAAGAGATGATATAAGATATATACAAGAGACCTAAACTATTTTAGGAAATATAATAACTCTATTTTATGCTAGGATCCCTTGATTTATGGGATTGTTCCTAATTATTCAAATCTGTATAGATTACAAGGAAATATACAAATTTCCTTATTTATTCTTTCCTAAAATACTATTTGATTTCTCACACTCCCCCTCAAGCTGGTGAATAGATGTTTTCCATTCCTAGCTTGGATACAATCTTCTCAAAATTATGGCAGCCCAGTCCCTTGGTAAGAATGTCTGCAATTTGGTCTTGAGAGGACACATATGGAGTGCATATCAAGCCACTATCAAGCTTTTCTTTGATGAAGTGTCTGTCTACTTCAATATGCTTTGTTCTATCATGCTGCATTGGGTTGTGGGCTATACTGATTGCTGACTTATTATCACAATAGAGCTTCATAGGTTCTTCCCACTTTATCCTCAAGTCTTCTAAGATGATTTTAAGCCATAGCAACTCACATATACCTTGTGCCATGGCTCGGAATTCGCTTCAGACCTTGGACCGAGCCACTACACCC